AATTTTTAGCAAGTTGTGGTCTAGAAGTTTGAGGTGAGGAGAACTAGAAAGATTTTTTTTTTTTGTCTAGAAAGTTCTTGTTGGGTTGAATTTCACCTTTGTTTTGTTCCCCTTTGACAGGGTAAAAATGCTCTGCCCTAGTTTCTTTTTTGTAATTCTTGCATCAAATCATTGTATTAGGCAAGATCAAATCACTCATGAAGTCCAATGTGTCTGTCCAAACTCTATATGTATGTGGGGATCTCTTACTCCTACATACATCATAAATTTGTGTTATTTATGTGAAAATTAATTTGCAAAATGTACCCCTGAGATTTAGCTTAATCTATGGAAGAAAAAAAGATGATCTTTTTGCAAAAGTTGCACCTCAAGTATGGGCATTTGTAAGAGGATCCCTGCAAGTTGCAACAAAGAATGATAGTTCTTTATCTGTGATGACCAGCCCAACTGATAATTTAGTTACCAAGCGTAGACCTGTCGAATTTTGGCCCGGCCCAGTTTAAGGTTTTGCTGGACCTCATTAAATGAGCCGGACCTATTTGCTCGACCTAATGGGCAGCAGAATAACTGGCCAGGCAAGCCCATTCGGCTCGCAAAAGCTAAGGGTGTGATAGAAATAGAAACTCACAATTAATTCAATTTAAGCTCAATTTAAACNTTTTTTGTCAAACGATAGATAACATTTCACTCAAAAATCATTAATATTATCAAACTCAAATTTTACTCAATTTAAACTCAAGCATCCTCAATATTATCAATATAATTGTATAACATCGACAAATCATTCTTACACATCACATAAACTTTAATTCACTATTCATTCATTCACATAATTTTAACTAATCATCGCTTCACATCATTTATTTCTTACTTTTGCATCAAATCAGTTTTAACACCTTTCAAAATTAACTATAATTAACAAAAAAACCAATAAAAAATCATCATATCCATATTCAATCACACCTTAAGTACAATTAAACACGATAAAGCCCGTGTGAGCCGTGTTTGGCCGAAAAAATTGTGAGTCAAAAAGCTTCGAGCCAATTGGTTCAAGCAGGACCTATGTCGACAGCTCTAACCAAGTATAGTTTGCAATGGTTAAAACAATAAATCGACCAAGTATAATTCACAATGCGCTTCTCCATTTTCTTCCTCGAGTCGAGACATCATTCGTAAAAAAACACAAATTCTTGTCTGAACCAGCGGTTCGACCCGTCACACTATACGGACAAAACATTGTCCAAAACATATCAAACTTCAAAACAAAAGAAACCCCACGAACATACAAAAAGCCAAAGCAACATTAAACTGATTATCACAAACAATAATATAACAAACATCAAAACATATAACAAAACCAACCAACACATGCACATGAATATAAGACCCTTCGTTTATTCGGAGCCCTTCAGTTTGCAACTGCATCAACCGCGCTGCCCGACTTGCATACGGACCCTTTTGGATCCACTTCATCGTGTGGGCCTTGATAGGCCACCGGGCCCATGCTGCTCGTCCTATGAAGGCCCGGCCCACGGTGCAGCCTGCAGCGGAATGAGCCCGCATGGGTTGTGGGAGAGCAAAGGCAGTTGTGCTTGCTAACGCTCCCCTGCCTTGAAAGCGCGCTGTTTGGGCCCGATTTCGGAGATGTGATCTCGGGAATTTTCACCTTCATAACCTTGCTGATCACAGTTTCATTTTCCATTGCTTATTTATGGTTCT